GGGGGGGGGGGGGTGATTGCGTCTTCCGGTCCTAGCGGCTGAGAAGGAGACTACCGTATTTATTCGATTAACCGCCCTGGACGCTTATTAAATTTTCACAATTTTCAGCAAGTGTAGTATGTTTATTTTGCAACAAAACAATAAATGGTAATAACAAAACTCGAAGATGTAACAAGGCAAGGCCGGTTCCTGTAAAATACTTTGAAGAAAACTCAGTCTTCGGGGAAGTCTCTTATTAGTACTTATTCAATTTTTGGGGGGTGGGGTGGGGGTGGTCGCTTATTTGAGTCTGAGTGGGAGTGGAAGGGAGGTGGGTTAGGGTGGGCGCTTATTAACTTTTTCTGCCTTTAGGAGGGGCGCTTATTCGAGGTGGGCGCTAATTCGAGGTTGGGCGCTTATTCGAATAAATACGGTATATTTGGACGTGAAAGTCTCTCACATTTTCATATTTTAACAATCTTAACTGTTGACTGAATAACTACTTTCTTTAAACTTTTTAACTTCGCGAGAATGCATAAGCAGACTTTTTTTAGAGTAAAACACAATCCCGAAACTACTCTATTGCAACTAATTTTAATAAGCATTAAGTTTTGGTCAGAAATGTTAGAGTATTTTGTATTTACGATTTGGGCATTTCGATAAAATCGACGCAGTTCTACTTTGCTACCCTTAAAAAAAAGCTGATTTTTGCAATAAAACCTTCGGAATTCAGTAGAAAGTCACCGAATGATGCTTGTTCAAAGAGACGACACATATACATTGAATCACCAGTTTTCCTCCACCCTTTTCAAGCGGAGAAAGTTAGCCGAAAAACCTTTCGATTTACTAAAGGTACCTGATATCTCGAGTACTCGTGTTTATAGAGAAAAACGTGACCCCGAAACTACTCTTTTACAACTAATTTTAATAAGCATTGAGTTGGTCCGAAATCTTAGAGTATTTCGTTTTTTTTAAGCCTTGTTTACGATTTTGGCATTTCAATAGAATCGACGCAGTTCTACCTTGTTATCCTTTGACAAAAGATTAACTATGTTTGCAAATAAAACCTTCGCAATTAAAAAGTCATCGAGTGATGCTTGTTCAAAGAGACGACACATTACATTGAATCACCAAATTACTATTTATTTCTGCCTTTTTAATCGGAGCAAGTTAGCCGAAAAACCTTTCGATCATGTGAAAAGTCTGAAAAGTACCTGATATCTTGGGTACTCAATTTTATAGATATACCCCATTACTAAAGAGGCGTTATGGGAACCCTCGATTTTGGCTAAACCAGCGAGGCAGCCAGCGCCGCGTTCGAAACCAAACGCATTTTAATGTCGCGGAAAAGTATTCAATATGCCTACAAACACAAACGACGCTTTGTAAGGAGAGATTCTCCATGAATTCTTTATTTGCCCGAATATCATATATAGCTTTCAAATATTCGCTTTGACGTTGTTCTTAGTCATTCATACTGAATTTGCATAAAGAGGTTTTAGCCCCGCAAAAAGGCTCGTGCCATTTTACCTTCCTTTGTTTCATTTGTTTGTGTTCACTAAGTAATAATCATAGAAAAGCCAACAGTGTTCTTTAACAGACAAAACTAATTGCTCGTTCTCTTTTCAATTATATACATTTTACTACAATGTTGACTCTTGAAAGAATACTTAATTTCTTAATAATAGTTTATTTGACTTGAGTCTATTTTTCGTGATTTTACCACCGGACGACATTTATTCATAGTAACGCCTTTCATACAGGTGTACCTCGTTCTAATTGCAACTTAGTTATATTATTTGCAAAAGTATATTTCATTAAGAGGCGGTCCGTGTAAGAACCGACCACTCGAATTTCCGCGGAAAACAGAATTCCTTCATTTTTTTTCTGCAACATAATTAGCCCATTCCATTAACAAAAATCGAATTTGTTTGGCTCATAGTGCTTTTTTAAAAAAAATTGGGCGGCGATTTGCCTGGACGGTCCAAAGCTGTCATGATCGTCTTTTTGAAGGTCAAATTTAAGCGTTTTGTTCAAAGCTCGCAAAAATTTCGCATTTATCCAAATAGCATAAAACAAAAGTGTGATTTTAATTCATGCTTTCTTTATTCAAAAAAGGGAAAATATTTAAATTCTGACTTTAAAAAAACGAGTTATGATGTTTTGAAAATACCACGTAAAGCGTCCTTGAAAAAAATGCGCGGTTATCCTAGTTTTAAAATAAGCTTTTTTCAAAAGTCTGACGTTATCTGAAGTCTTGGTCACCCTCCCTGTTCAGTAATAGGGCTAGTGTATCGAAATCAAGAAAAACATTTTTGGGCACTGTCGATTCTGAAGCACAAGAGTTCGATAAAGTTGGGTAACATTTTACTGTAATTGTGCGTATGACATAATTTACGCATTTCGGTGATTCCGAACTTTCCCACTGAAAATCAAACCGAGAGAACAAATATATTTAAAAGTGGCCTTTATTGTTCGAGATAAACTGTGAACAGCTAACAACTTACCAAATGCTACACGAAACTAGGAATTGCGAAGTTTAATAGTCGAAATTATTGATTCCGACGTAAGTTGTCAGTCGTCTAAGTTTACTTCTAAAAGCCGTTTACAAAATTTCATTCAATTAAATTGGTCGTAGGTTTTCCTGATAAACAAAAAAAGAAAAAGCTTTTCATTCAGGTTAAGCATATAATTATTTGACGAAAGTGAGTCCTGTTTAAAAGAATTACACATTTTATTAAAAACACCCGGTACATTACAGCCGAAATTCAAATCATCTGAACAGTGTTAATTTCCCGTCTCGCTGGCTACGCGTGAATGTCAGTCTTTTAGCTTGTCACGCGTATGTACCTTTTTAGTACGGTTGACAAAAAAACATGTTCTTTTCTAATTCGACTTTTCAAAAAGTATAAAGGTCTTAAAACGTCTTTTCAAGTTTTCGAAAAATAAATGCCTCCACGATCTTTCTGAACTCGAGGTCGAAAAACCCTGTTGGTTACCATAATAGCGATTTGTGCCTTAATGCGGCTGGTTACAGTCACAGCCTTCAAGAAATTCGGATAGGTTCGCCACAAGAATTTTTTTCTATCGCGAGAACTAAAAGGAATTTCAAAAAGTATAAAGGTCTTAAAACGTCTTTTCAAGTGTTTGAAAAATAAATGCCTCCACGATCTTTTTGAACTCGAGGTTGAAAAACCCTGTTGGTTACTATAATAGCGGTTTGTGCCTTAACGTGGCTGGTTACAGTCACAGCCTTCAAGAAATTCGGATAGGTTCGCTACAAGAATTTTTTTTCTATCGCGAGAACTAAAAGGAATTTCAAAGTATTTCAACATGTCCTTGAGCATAGCAACGCTAAATGTTTCAAGTTTCTTCTCGTGTGAAAGGTCACATAAACAGTATGAATCATAGCAGATAGGTGGGTGGCCACCTCTTCCAGGACGGCTCGTCTTTCCTTCTCTTCCTGTTCCGCCTCTACGTCTTCATTGAGAGCTTCCCGATGTGCTTTGCTTCTTCGCGAGGCCGCTAGCCTCGAAAAAAATTTCTGTACTTGACCCTTTGTGAGCCAATGTTTCCTCTCAAACATCCGAGAACTGTCTGGGTTTCTTGCAGTTCGCATATCTGCTGCCACTTTTGCGGGATCTGACTTGATGCCAGTTCTTTCTCCAAGATCAAATTTCGTTGTTAGGTACTGTTTAACCTCGGTAGGAAAACGCACAGCTTCGTTTCGGGGCTTGTGTAGAGCCCATCCAGTCTGCAAGTCACTGCACTCGGGAGAGCGACCAGTTTTATTCTTTTCGTGATGCTCCTCTACAACTGCTTCAGGCACGCTTCTGATTTCTTCGTCCTTATCAACAGTACGAAATTTCTCCGCCCAGTCTCTTCTGAGCTTGTCATACACCGTATCAGAGTTTCCGCGAACTTGGCTGTGCTCACCAACATCAAGGTGATTTTCGAGTTCACTGAATTTCTTGAAAACCATGTTGCACCCGGGCTCAGAACAAGAGAAAAGACCGTTGCATTGTTCATTTTCACTGTTTGTCTCTCTCTTATATACTCGAGCTTCTTTGAGAGGAAAGAAGTTCTCATGCACAATGAGACCAGTAGGACCTTGAGGTTCAGTTATGACCTCTCGGTAAGGAATAAACTTGCCAAGTCCAACACCATAAGCTCTCCATGCTCTAATTCCTTTCACTTCAAACTTGAAATTGTGATACTTGCTGAAACCTTCTATCTTATGTACTCCGTGTGTCTTTTGAGTCTCATTCATTGCGCACAAGGAGGCAGTTGTACCTTGAACTAGCCTCCCCGCAGACGTCCTTTGGGGTTCGTTTGTCACTCATTCATTTCTCCCCCACGGACGTCTGCTAAACACAGCCGACATTTACGTTCACCAATCACAGGCCGTTTACCGATTTTTGTAAAACGTAACCCGAGTCGCTTCTTAAGATTCGCGCGATCAGTGAGGCTTTTGATCGAGTGTGCGAGAAATTTGTAATTAATACAGAGTTAAACTAGTATCAGAGAGAAGCTATCCTGCAAATTTTATAGCGAAGACGGATGAGTTCAAAAATTTGCCGACGGGATTTGGCAAATCCCTTATCTATCAAGCTTTGCTGCTTGTTTGCGACACAGTGCGTGGAACTACTGGACATTATTGTTGTTGTTGTTTCTCCCCTGGTAAATCTTGAAAGATCAATCTACAAAGCTGGAAAATATTGGTATTCCTGCTGTAACGCTCAGTGATATTAGCAAAGAGAATATGAGGGTTGTAGAGAGAGGGACTTTCTCTGTTGTTTACGAAAGCCCAGAAGCGGTGGAGGAAATGTTAGCGAGTGACTTGTACAGTTAGTATGTGGTCCTTGGTCGGCGACTTTCCCGAGCATGATATTTCGTCGACAAATAAAATACAATGAACAATGAAAAGTTCAATGATTTATTGATTATAAGCATTCTTTCTTTCTTTGAAGGAGCGAGATTAAAGCTTGTTGACAGGTAGGTTAATTTGTCGTTCTAGCTTGAAGTTTGGACTTCGGCGGCACCGTGGTCATGTTTACTTAGCTTGTGAATAAATAAAACGCAACGGGAGGACGTGCCTTTTTGCAGAACAAGTTTTCAGATAAACCTTTTTCTGCCGTTGGAAGCACATTACTGTAGACTTCGAATTTTTTGTTTTACCGAATCTTGAAAAAATATAACCAAATTTTGCGTACTGGTCCATGGTCCGCGACCCATGACCTTGGTGGAATTACATTTCGCAAAAAAGGAAACGGCCTTTGTTTTCGAAGAATGCTTTGAATATCTTCCCTATACACGTTTATAAGTTCTCTTTTCTTAATACTTCGAATATATACAGAGTTAATAGTAATTATTGTTTTCGACCGCGCTGAAAACCGCTCCGCGCTTGTTTGGGAATTTTTGTCTGAAGTCTTTCAAAGAAAAGCAGATTATTTTATAGTCACAACTTCCGAAAAAAATGTACAGCTGACGGCAGCTTTATTACATTCAGTTTCTGTGATTTTTTCAAAACGTTTGAGTGGTCTCAGGTAGAAGGTAGCGTTGCAAATAAATAATTCATTTGAGAATACAAAGACATCACTTATATCACAGCGCGTGATTGGCTGATAGTGACACAATAACTAACCGCTTATTGGCTTATTCAAACAATCCAGAACGTAAAAGTCGGC